CCCCCCAGGGGGGATGGTCACACCGCAATCCCTTCTCCTCCATTCTCCTCTCAGGATCTTGGGCACGCACGCACATGCGCCCGGCGTGAGTTTTAAGCCACCGGGTCCGGGACACGAACCGTGGTCGACTACGTGGGAGTCCAGCGACATAGCCATTACGCTAACTGCTGGTTCCCTGGATGAGTAGGTCTTGAAGGCATAGTTATGTCACAGCTCAGCAGAATCTGGGGTTTATCATGGAGATCCTGACTCACCGGAGAAAAGTCAAGTTCTGGATTCAATGTATTACTGAGTTGTCGGGAAAGTCGTAACACATTTTTGCAAAAAAAAAAAAAAAAAATCATGACTTTTCCAATGACCCAGTATTTCAAGAGGGGCCAAATAGTGCTGGGTGTAGCAGTAAAACACAAAGCTCTGCAAGACCGGCCTGCCTGGGAAGGTTTGGGGTTTGCATCCCGAGACCTCCCTGGGCACATGTGTGCTCCTGACCCAGGGCTGGCTGGCGCTGGGGATGACCCATGGCATTGAGATCCTGATGGGGTGCCCCTCCTTCTCTGTCTCTCTCTCTTGCATGTGTGCATGTGCTCATGTAAGAAATTAATTTGGGGGACCAGAAATGGCATAGTGGTTATGTTGCTGGATTCCCATGTAGTTGACTATGGTTTGAGTCCCAGATTTGACCGCTTACAACTGACATCTTGGGGCCAGTGAATGGCGTGGTGGATAAAGGTGCTAGATTCCCATGGCCGATCACAGTTCAAGTCCTGGACCTAGCAGCATGCTTTCTTGCTTTCCCTTTCTTTCTCTATCTCTCTCTGGTCAAATTAAAAAATATTAATAACAAATGGAATTAAATAAATAATAAAATTTTTTTTAAAACTCTCACATCTCTACAACATATGCGACTGCGTTTTCTGTGGGGGACACCCAGAAACACTGTCTCACTCCAGAACAGAGGGCACACCAACATCAGCTGCATCTCTCCTTCCACCCTGCTTTCGTCACTGCTGGTGTAGGCCTGGAGCAAACCCGGGACAGAGCTCTCCCTCCCCTCGGTCCTGCTTCGCTGGGTCTGCTTTGCCTTGAACTAGGCAGGCAGCCTGGGGTCCACACCCTCAGACCTACTCAGCAGCTGATACATCCAGGGCACGTTTTTGCACAAAGGATAGAGATAGGAATGCAGACGCTGTTTCTTAAAAACGTTTTTCAGGACCAGCCTGTGGCATGGTGGTTGGAGCAGCTGGATCCCGGGTGACTGAATGTGTTGTCTGAGTCCTAGATTTGGCGACAAGAAACATGCTAGGAGTGTGTTCATCTTCAAAATCTGGACCAGAGAGAGAGTGACTGTGGCGTAGCCATCACTCACCCCCCAGGTGCTTTCTCGCTTTCTCTCTGTCTCTGTCTCTCCTGTGAGTATATATGGCCTCTGGGGGAAAAAAAAATCAGGAAAACATTTAAAATTAAGATTTTTTTTTTATTGTGGTAAAATATTGGGTCGTCAGAAAAAGTCATGACACATTTTTGCATAGAAAAATATGTCATGATTTTCCTGATGGCCTAATACACATAATAAAATTTGTTACCATTTTAATCATTTTAAAGTGTTATTCAGTTCAGTGTTATTAAATACACACATAGGGATCAGCTGATAGTGTAATGGTTACATTGCCAGACCTCCACATAGTTGATGGTGGTTCGAGTCCTGAACCCGGCAGCTTAAAAGGATGCCAGGTGCCCAAAATCCCAAGAGGAGACAGGAGGAGAAGGGATTGCAGCATGGCCATCCCCATCTGGGGTGATTTCTCACTTTCTATCTCTCTGTCTCTCCAGCAAACACACGTGCCCTATACCAAAAAACACTCTTAAAAAAAAATACACACATAATGTTGCACATCCAACACTATTATTCATCTCTGGGCCTCTTCCTTTTCTCAAACTGAAACTGTATTCACTCAACTCAAACTCCCCATTCTCCCTCTCCCGACCCCTGGAAACCACCGTTCTGCTTTCTTTCTCTGTAAACTTGGCAACTCTAGGTACCTTACATAAGTGGAATCATGTACTATTGTCTTGTTGTGACTGGCTTATTTCACTTTAGCACATTGTCAAGGTTTCATCCAAATTGTAGTGTGTTCAAATTTCCTGCCTTTTTTAAAAAATAATTATTTATTTCATTTTATTTGTTAATTTGTTTTAATTTACAAAGACAGACACACACACACACAGAGCGAGAGAAAGAGAGAGAGGGAAAGTGAGAAAGCAAGCCACGAGGTCCAGGACTTAAAACACAGTTGACCACGTGGGAGTGTCCAGTGCCTTAACCACCACACCACCCTCTGGTCCCCTGAATTTCCTCCCTTTTTTAGGCTGAGTAATATTCCCTCATATGTAGATATCACATTAGCTTTTCCATTCACCCACCCGTAGGCAATTGCGAATAATGCCACGTGAACTGGGTGTACATATCTTTGAGTCTCTGCTTTCAGTTCTTTTGGGTACATTCTATCACATTTAAAGTTGTTTGAGCAACAACCATGTTTTCCATAGCAGAGTTAAAATGTTTAAGAACTCCATGGTGGGGGAATTTAGAAAGAGCTAAAAGCACAGTATTTATGTTAGATCGAATTGTCAGACAACATTCCTGTTACCAGCAGTACCTACGACAATCAAAACAGCTAACACTCACTGAGCACTAAGTAGGTGTAGGGTGTATCACCAAGAGGGTTTCTCATTTAGCCTTTTCAGCACGGTAGGAGACAAGTTCTGTTATGTCACCTTACAGATGCAGAAAACGAAGGTTAGAAAGCTTAAGCAACTTGCCCACAGCCAGCAGCAGGAGGACCTGGAATGGAACAGGATGGCTCGCCATGCCAGCTGCGCCCCTTGCTTCTGTCTGCAGAGCTTTGCCTATGAGAGAGTCATTCATTTCCTATGCCAAATCCTGTTTCATGGTTTGTGTCCATAAACCAAAGTTCTGGGAGGGGGTAGCAGTGGGCCAGTAGTGGCTGATACTCATCACCCTGGAGTTGTGACATTGCAGCATGAGAGGATCCACTGGGGCATCAGCCATGTCCCCAGGCCACACAGTAACCCTGACCACCAGCTTCCCTGCTCTCACTGCCTCTGACTCTAATAAAGAACTTGCTAGAACTCTAATGCTGTTTCCTGAAATGGTCTGGCTGAGCCTCCTGCCCAGGTCCCGGTACAGAGTGGGATCAATCAAGCCCTGCAGGAATGAAGGAACCCGCAGAAGAAGGACGCATCCTTCACACACTCAAAGCCAGGGTTCTGCCAGGCAGCCACACTGCATAAAGGCCTTGTTCCTGGCAGGTTCGACCACCTGGTGGCCATAGAGCGCGCAGGAAGGGCTGCCGATGGCAACTACTACAACGCCAGAAAGATGAACATCAAGCACTTGGTTGACCCCATTGATGATCTTGTCCTTGCAGCAAGGAAGATTCCTGGAATCTCAACAACCGGTAAGTGAGGAGCTCTGAGAATTCCACGAGTACACGCCAGCACTAAATGTCCTTTTAGCAACTGTCGAACACGTGACAGGAGGGTGTTACATGGGATCATTGTTTTCCACCCCAAAGACGGTCTTTGTTTATTACGGTCAGCATAGACACTAATGACACCGCCGTTTAGAAATCCAACACTCCCACAAGTAAGGAACGGAAGTGATGCTGAACGGAGCGTATTCTGCTTCCCGACTCGAAAGTAATGAAACGAATAATGAAACAATAACAATAAAATTGAGGCATGACATTTTAATTTGGTCATAGAGGATAGAACATACCATGTATCATTTTATGAGATGTTTCATAAAAATAGATTATTAGTGTAATATTTCTGTTGTTAATGATATTAGTGGTGGGTCTAGCCAGGTGGCATGGTGGCTAAAGCAACTGGGTCCCACAAGGCTGACTGAGCGGTTTGAGTCTCGAACCCAGCAGCTTGCAAAACACACTGAGCATGTATGCCTGCGTGCCCAAAATCCTGGGAGGAGAGAGGAGAGGGGATTGTGGTGTGCCCATCCCCCAGGGAGTCATTTCTTACTTTCCCTCTCTCTCTCTGTCTCTCTCTGGTGAGCACATGTATCCTATAGTAAAAACTAAAATAATAATAATATAATAGTGAATAATTTGTGTTGGTAGGGAACTTTATCATTTTCCATGTAACTTAAGCCTTTCCAAACCCCCGTGAGGTAGGTAAAGCCAGATACTGTTCAAAGCGGAGGCCCAGAGGGGTCTACAGATGCCTCATAATTAATTAGTGTTGTCGATAGAATTAGGAGCAGAGTCCAGACTCCTGGGGACTTACCCCATTCTCCTGTTGCCTTTTTTGAATTTCTGAAAGTTTTAGTGTAACCCCCAAGGCAACCCAGCTTTCCTGCCTCTGGGGGTAGGTCTCAGGCCCTGGGGTAATTAAGCCTTGTTTGTCCGTCTGCACTTGTTTGTTTTCTGATCCAAACACTTTAGAATTTCCCAGACTCATTAGTCCCCCTTGCTTTATGAGGTTTTGACCAGACAATGAAAGCCCGCTGGGACGGTTAGAAAATGTCTGCGAATTGCCCTGGGCTTTCCCAGAAGAGGCTGTGGGCGTGGTACTCACACTGCGGTTGCCGTTTCCTGTCACTTCGGGCTGGGCGAGGGGAGGGCCAGGGGCCTGTGGGGGAGACGGTCTTAGAGTGGAGCAGGGAGGGGTCCCCACATTCAAGAGGGAAGGCAGCAATCAGGGTCCGAAGGAGCGGCTGTCACTCACCCTTGCCCATGGACGGGCCTCCAGCCTGTGCTACGAGGGTGAGGGTCCGGAGAGCCTCACAGCAGGTGAGGGCACAAGTGGAGCTGGTTGTCACGACTTCACCTGTTCATCCGCTCCGGTAGTCAAGGCTTCTGTTCTCGCACCTGGCTGAACCTCGCCAAAAAAAATAAATTGAGGCTCTGGCAGGTGGCGTGGTAGTTTAAGGCACTGAACTCCCACATGGCCGACTGCAGTTTGAGTTCCTGACCTGGAGGTGTGCTTTCTCACTTCTCTCCCTCTCTCAGTCTGTCCCTCTCTGATCAAATTAAAGTAAATAAATAAACAAGAATAAATAAAATTAGATAAAATGATTCTTTTTTGGGAGAGGGGAGAGCTTTTCGCTGTAGGGCGCGTGCGCTCGCCAGCCAGACAGAGAGAGACAGAGAGACAGAAAGTGAGAAATCACCCCCCAGGGGGGATGGTCACGCCGCAATCTCTTCTCCTCCATTCTCCTCTCAGGATCTTGGACATGCACGCACATGCGCCCGGCATGAGTTTTAAGCCACCAGGTCCGGGATGCGAACCGCGGTCAACTACGTGGGAGTCCAGCGACACAGCCATTATGCTAACTGCTGGTCCCCGATAAAATGATTCTTTAAAAAGAGATCAGCAGTTAGTGTAATGGCTATGTCACTGGAGTCCCATGTAGTGAACTACGGTTCGAGTCCCAGACCTGGTGGCTTAAACTCATGCCGGGTGTGTGTATGTGCCTGTCCCAGCTCCAGATAGGAAAATGGAGGAGAAGGGATTGCAGCATGGCCATCATCCCGAGGGGTGATTTCTTGCTGTCTGTCTCTCTATCTCTCTGTCTTTCTGGTGAGCGCACGGGCCCTAGAGCAAAAACCTCTCCAAAACAAACAAACAAACAAATAAATAATTCGTTAAAAAATAAAATAAAATGAAGTACATTCATTTCACCTTTTTTCAGCAGAGGCCTTTGAAGTACTTTAACCGTCTGTACCAGTTCCCCTCAGTCCCATCAGCCGAATGGGGCTCAGTGACCCTGAGGGGAGGTCCCGATGTCACCTAATCTGCCTCTTTTGTGGACCTGGCACCGTCAGCCTAGAGGGTGCTCCACTGGTGCCTGGAGAACATGGCCCAGTAGGAAACAGGCCCTCACCCTAGTAGAGTCCCAAACTTTGACTCATTTTAATGAGAGAAATTTCTAGAAGACCAGAAGGAAAGGCAGAACATCACCTCATTGTCAGAAAATATATCGGCGCCAAGCACTAGCCCTACCTAGAGACCACAAGGCCCTACAACCACCCCTGCTCACCTCTGTCCCGGGCACTGACTCGGTTCCCCTTTCCTCAGGAGTTGGCGATGGAGGCAATGAGCTTGGAATGGGCAAAGTCAAGGAGGCCGTGAAGAGGCACATACGCAACGGGGATGTCATCGCCTGCGACGTGGAGGCCGACTTTGCTGTCATCGCTGGTGAGTGCTCACATGGCCTCCCAGTCAGGGCTGGCCGACTGGCCTGGGGTGAAGGACCGGGCCGGGAGCCCCACCAGGCCAGAAGCTCTTCTTATCTCTGAATAAAATCTAGAGGGCACCAGGGCAGGAAAGGGCTGTGGTTCCTAACCTCTGACCTCTCATTCAGTCATTCAACAAACATTTCCTGTGCCCCATGCGTTGTTCTGGGTACTGGGGTTATGGTGATGACCCTGCTCCACAGAGCTCCTACTTTAGAGTTGAAAGGCAATGACTTCTGACAGAAAAGGACACTAAATAGATCATTCTATATGGTGATGACAGCTATGGGGCAGTAGAGCAGGTAGAGAGAGGGCCGGACGGGCCACTTTAGATCGGTGGTCAGGAAAGTCTCACTGCTTCCATCTGGGCCTCCTGCGTGGTAGACAGGAAGAGCATCTGGCAAATGTCTGGAGTGTCCTCACTCACCTCTGCCCCTAGCTGTCCCACCCTCCCTGCTATGGCCCTTCCCCATTGGGGCTGGCCGTTCCTGTGTCCAAGTCCTTCTGGATCTGGTCCTAGCTCCTTTGACCTCACCACAAGTTTCAGGAAAACCGACAGACACCTGAGAAAGGCTCACTCCCGCTTCTCAGTTCAAACTGAAGACAAGGAGAACCCTCCCAGAACCGGTGCCAGGGAAGGAAATTCGAACCGTGGCCGGCCAGTTGTGGAGGCTCAGTGGGCTAGTCGGAGAACTCCAGAGGACCCAGTCGTAGGGGAGCTCCTATCCTTTTGCAGATTTTATGGCCAGGAGTTCTACCTGATTCTCACAGTAACTATTGGAGAAAAAGTTCACATTTCCAGCCGGGAGAGAGGAAAAGGAACCATTTTGAAATATGCCAAGAAGGGGCCAACAGGTGGAATAGTGGTTATGGCACTGGACTCCCATGTGGCCAACCGTGGTTCAAGTCCAGGACCTGGCAGCTTGAGAATCAGTCGGGCACGTGTGCATGCATGCCCAGAATCCCAAGAGGAGACTAGAGGAGAAGGCACTGTGGGGTGGCTGTCCCCCCTGGTGGGTGATTTCTCATGTTCCCTCTCTCTGTCTCTGTTTGGTGAGCACATGTGCCCTATAGCAAACTGAAAAAAAGAAGAAAATTAACAAATAATTTTTTTAAATGTAAAACAAAACAGGAGAATCTCGACTTGCTCCTTTCTCTGGGCTGGTTGAGTTTTGGGTTCAGTAGGTCGGGGCTGGGGCCCAAGGCTTGGTCTTCCCAGCAAGTGCCCCAGTGGTACCATGCCACCCATCTGGGTCCCGCGCTTCAAGAGGAGTTCTGCCGCTGGGGGCTGCAGGACTGCTGGGCCTTTCAGTTCTGCGAGGAACCTGCTTCCTGCTGTTCCAGGTGTTTCTAACTGGGGAGGATATGCCTTGGCCTGCGCACTGTACATCCTCAACTCCTGCGAGGTCCATGGACGGTACCTGAGGAAGGCAATCGGACCCTCCAGAGCCCTTGGGGATCAGAGCTGGATGCAGGCCCTGCCATCCGTCACCAAGGTAACATATCCCAGCAGAGGTCCCGTCATGACCACAGGCCAGCACCGGGCAGCCTCTCAGAAGCCAGAGGCAGAGCTCATCTTAGAGCAAGGTCTGGCCCTGGACTGGGTGACCTTTGACCTACTAGTGATCCCAAATCATATGGAGAGCTGATAGTGACCAGTTCCTTGTAGCTTGGCTTTAGGCACGGTGCTTACCTCTCGGAGCCTCGTGTTCCTCAGCTCTAATGTGGGTGTGGTTGGCATTGCGGGAAGAGCCGAATGCCCAAGCCCGGGCAGGCGCTCTGCACTGGTGGCAGACAGAGGGGTCCTTACCATCCCCTCCAAAAAGCTTGCAACCCAGGACACTAAAAGCTACTGTGACAACTGTTGATGTGGGAGATGGGCAGACAGGCGGGGAACGAGCCCTGTGGGCTGGAGGCTGGAAGGAATAGAGCGGATAGAAGGGGAGGCGTTCCGGGTGGGAAGGACCAGGACACACTGGGAGGGGAGGACAGGCCTGGGTCTGCTGTTGGGAGGGCGGCAGGCAGCAGGATGTGACAGGGGCCAGGGGAAGGCTTCTAGTCCCAGGATCCGTGAGGAGGAAACCCACAAGTCCCCAGAACAGTTTGCAAAATTGTTCTTGTACATGCCTTTTTCTGGGCAAGAATCCTGGTTTCATCAGATTCTTGGCCTCAAGTAGTTTGGGGCCATTCAGAACCCCTGGAGGGTCAGCAGGTGGTTAAGGCAGAGGGGCCTCACGTGGCTGACTCTGTGGTTCAAATCCTGGACCTAGCAATGTTAAAAACACACCAGGCACGCGTGTGTGCATGCCTAAAATCCCAGCAGGAGAACCGAGAAGGGATTGTGGCATAGTTATCCCCCAAGGGGGATAACTTCTCACTTCTCCTTTCTCCCTGTCTCTGGCAAGCACACATGCCCTATGGCAAAAAAAAAAAAAAACTTAAAAAAAATAATTGTTCCTATACATGCATTTTCTTCTAGGCAAGAATCCTGGTTTAATCAGATTCATTAAGTAGTTTGGGGCCATTGAGAATCCCTGGAGGGGAGCTGGCAGGTGGCGTGGTGGTTAAGGGCACTGGACTCCCACATGGCGGACCTCAGTTCGAGTCCCAGTCCTGGCGGCTTGCTTTCTCACTTTCTTTCTCTCTTTCTTGCTCTCTCACTCTGTCCCTCTCTGGTCAAATTAAAACAAATGAATTAAAAGAAAGAAAGAAAGAAAGAACCCCCAGAGGGCCAGCCAGTGTTGTGGTTAAGACAGCTGGATCTCACATGGTTATGGTTCAAGTCACAAACCCAGAAACTCGAAAACCAGGTCAGGTGTGTATGCGTGCATGCCCCCAAATCATGAGAGGAGATGGAGGAGAAGGGATTTTAGTGTGGCCATCCCCCCAGGGGTGCTTTCTCACTCTCTCTCTCTCTCTCTGTCTCTCTCCCTGTCTGGCAAGTTCACTTGCCCCATAGTGAAAACAAAACAAAACAAAACAAAACAAAACGAACCCCTGGAAGGGGGAGATCATGTTATCTAGATCCAAAGAAACTGGGGTTCTACCCGAGAGGTAATAGGGAGCCCAGCTAAAGCAGAGGGAGGTCTGGGTCTGGTACCCTCTGCCTCCATGCTCTGGGCTCTTCCCAAGTAGCTCAGATAGTTCCCA